AACCCGTTGTTTAGGGTTAGGGCCAACCCAACTCAAAAAGAAAAAATAAAAAACCATTTTAGCCCAAGCCAACAAGTCCACCAACCCTGTAGGGCTAGTCCAAAACCCAACGGGCTGGCCCATTTGACATCCCTACACGTGTTGAGAGAAAGAAATAAATGCGTTGACTACTTGGCCAACTTGGGTCAATACTCGGAGTGGGGTACTACAATTGTCACTGAGCCTCCTGAGGATCGGGGTACTACAATTGTCACTGAGCCTCCTGAGGATCTTAGGATACTCCTTCAGGCTACTGCTGGTGGGGCTATCTCGAGAAAAATAAGATAATGTTCGCTGCGCTAGGCACTGTCTTTTTTCACCAAAAAAAAAAAAAATAGAAAGATAAGAGAACCATTACTTTTGAAATTTTGTTAAATCAACTGACTTCACCCAAAAAAAAAAAAAAAAAAAAAACAATCAACTGAGGATATGAACATGAAAAAATGGGTTACTTGTTTTACAAATAGTGTGCTAGTTGATATTTCTATAATTTGGTAGGAAAAAGATTGAGATTAATCTTTGGAGCTATTGCTTTAATTCTTATGAATTGTAGCACAACAATTCTATTCATGGCTATTGCACTAAACATATCAAAATCAAGTCTTCATAGGAGAGTTAAAGAAAACCTTAGAAATCTCACTCAAACACTATACAAGTGTAGAACTATGTTATAGAGGAAACTGTACATCAATCTATAATTAATTTAAATTCCTCTCATAATAATCAATGTTTCATAGATATTCATGATTATGATCATAGAGATTAAAAATGTTTCTCTCAAGAACTTTTCAAATATATTATCTCTTGCCTAATGCTGATGAAACATATCATACTTATAAAAGTAAATGTAATAGTGAAGGGATAAACTGCACCTTAATGCCCTAAACAGTATGTACATATCTGAAGCAATAAACTACCAGTGGCCTTGCACCCAAAAGGCAACGGAAAATAATTGCTGATGAAATATATGAATCAAACATTATCTGGCCAAAATTCCCTGTAGAATTCCATCACTAGTTCCTTCTCTTGCAACTGCTTCTCAAACTCCAGTATTTTCTTCATCTTTTTAGTAAGAGCTTTCGTTTTCTTTTTCACCGGCAACTGAAAAAAAAAAAAAAAAAAAAAAAAAAAAACATGATTAGTATTATTCCATGCCAAACCAGGCCTGGTTTTATATATACCAACTGATAAAAACATGCAAATTGACTAAGAGAAATGAATATTAATAAAAATTGTGTCACATTATTCTTATGTCATCTATCAATCACCATTGGATCCATCTTTTACAGAAATCAACTCCCTCATGGTCCAAATTACATAAAGGGCAGAGTGAAAATCGTAGAGGGAGCATGGGATACCTTCACTTGCTGGCATTAGAAAAGAGCAATAGATTATCCCCTAGTTCCCACAACTAGAGGATAAAAAAGTTCTTTTCATATCCAATTCAATATTCTTGTACACAAATCATGTAATCAAAAACTCTAATAAAAGCTCCCATAGATGATGATGATAAAAACTGCTACAGCTATTAAAGAAAAAAAAAATTAATTAATTAAAGATTTCACTATAATTTTCTGAAAGGCAAACAACATCTTACTTTAACTTCCTTCCCAGCTTTTTCACTCTTTGTATGCTCACTTGCCTTCTTTCCTTTATCTGCTCCCAAGCCCCGCTTATTCCTCTTTACACATCCTTCTACAGGCTCCAACCTGCCCTGTTAGCACAAAACTTGTTAGAAATTTTCATAATCTCATATTGGAAACAGGTGCTGTATAAGCACATATATATAGCAAAAACAATTCATTTGTTAGATGGAAAAAGAAGAGGTGGGGGGCAGTGGTTAATTTACTTTGCTAAAAGCCTAAAACCACTGTACTCTCTATCTTTGCATTCACAAAAAAAGACCTAATTGTAAGAAACTGCTTTAAACACTATAAGCCAAATAAATACAGAAACATCTCACATCAATTAAGAAGACACTTTGCAAAATGATTCTTTCCTTCCAGTTTGGAAGCACATTATTTAAACACAGACAAGAATTAAAGTGGCAAAATAAGTTGCCACAAAAAACCAGTAATTAAATTTATTTTGTTTTTAAGATAAGCTTAAGGTTTCATACTCCCACGGTTACTCCCTTACACACAACCCTGGAGTTCTCCTCTGCCAAAAAATTAGAACAAAAGTGTCATAAACAATTAAGAAATCTCATGGAATAACAGGACTCCGCGTGCCTATGAACCTCAAAGAGAGTAAGAAAAAGATAAGACCATTTTCAGGAAACATGAAATAAATAGGACAGCTTGCAGGATGGGAAAATCAGTAAAAAGAAAGTCTAAAATGCCTCTTTCTGTTTAATGTGACTGCATTAGTTTTTATGGAGAGAAAAAGAAACATTTAGAAGGATTAACACTTAATAGAATCAGTTTATGCCTTCTTAAGCGCACTATTTGGTACAATTTTGTGAATAAGATATGTTACACCATATACTTATCAAACACTCCATAGTTAAAAGTATAAAACATGAGCTCCTAAGCTTCACCTTATAAAACAGCAGGATATAGATATACATCCAAGAACCAACCAGAAACTTTCAAATGGTACCAAAAGAATGCTAAAAAGGTAATCCTCTTAATTTCCATCTCAAAAACTCCAGAAACGCAAACAAGGAGTTGTCACTAGCCTTCAGTTTTAAGCAATTTGGTTTCATTTATTTATATATTTTGAGACAATTTGACAACAATTCAAGTGTTAACAACACAGCGGCAGTGAAAACGAAAGCCTAAATTGAAAAGTAACTGCAACACCAATTGATAACAATACAGAAAAAAACAGAAATTGACATATGAAAACTTAAAATGAATGGCGGAAATTTAACCAACCTGTTCGGCAATACCGAGTCCAGTTCCTTCTTTCCAACCATGCTTCTTTAGCAACTGCAAAACAAGGGTTCACGGTGAGCAAGGCAAGTGACATTGAATATTCAAAACCTAGGGATTGAGGTATGGGGAGAGAGATGCAAACCTGAAAGCCAATATTAGAGGAATTGATAGGAATTGTGTTTGATGCGCCCATGTTTGAACTACTACGGCTATAATGATCATCCATAGCTCCGGCGCCCAAACCCGTAGTCGGAGCGGCGGCGCCCTCATAGCCGTCCGAACCCATAGCCGCCAAATCAGTTGAGCTCTTAATCAATGTTTACTAGAGGCAAAACCCTTCGCTTTCCTCTCAATTTCAGGAATGATACCAGCGAAACCAGATCAGTATTTGAATTTGAGACAGATTGATTGAATCAATCACCACTCGATAACGTAGAGGAATAACGTTAATCGACGACCGACTTCACCATCTCTTTTGCGATAATTTGCACTTTTGCTCCAACATAAAGAGTAAAATACATTTCGACCCTAAACTGCCCAACTTATCACTTAACCCCCACGCAATTTTTCTTTTCACCTAAACACCTTTTCCTATCTTTCCCCAAAATAATTATTTGGGAAAATGGTCAAACCGGCCTTCGAACTTTAACTAAAAAGTTAATTAACTCAATTTTTTAAAAGTGTAATTACACACATGAACTATTCATTTTGATGCAATTAAGCTTAAAAATAAGTAAATGACCTGATATCACAGGTCATTAGGTGTCCTGCAACCTCCGGCGAAAATTTCTAGAAAAAAAGTGATCGGCAACTGGTGAACGGTGACCAGTCATGAAGTTCCGTGATCGGCGACCGTTCGTCATCGCTGGTCACTTTTTTGCTTGAAATTTTCATTGGATGGTGACTGGATTCCTAGTGACATGTGATAGCAGGTCATTTACCGATTTTTAGGCTTCATTACATCAAAAATGAATTGTTGATGGGTGTAATTGCACCTTTAAACAGTTGAGGAGGCTAATAGACTTTTTAGCTAAAGTTCGAGAGCCTATTTGACCATTTTCCCTAATTATTTCTCTAAGGCCCTGTTTGGTTCGCGGAAAATATTTTAGGGGGAATGGAGTTTAAATTCCATTGAAAAGTAATTACTAGGAATATGAATTTCATTGTTTGATTTGTGGAAAAAAAATTATTTTGGAATATCAATTACATTGTTTGGCTGGATTTAGAATTGTACGGAATAATGAGTATAATACATGTATATCCCTACAAAATAATAAAAAGTAATAGTAATTAAGAAAGAACAAGAAGGGTAATGTTGGTTTTATTGATCACTGGGGTAGTAAAATAACGGGCCAACACCACTGAAAAAGTAAACTTGTGGCCGGAAAACAAATGCTTCGTGTTTATTGTGGGAAGATGAAAAGCTTAACCCTTTTTCAGGGTTTACAATGGGGTATTTATACAATAATTAATGAGCCTAATTTAGGTAAGTTCTTATTGCCAAAAGTACACTTGATCTCCTTTCATATTTTACTGATTTCCCTTCATAAACTCAATTGATCTCATATCCTTACTGCTTATGAATTCCACAAAATCCGCCTACCAAATCGCCTAAGGGTCCTGCCGCATCTCTGGTACTGATCTGAGTCCCTGAGGGAGTTGGCTACCTTATCTTCCGACAGGTTACACTGCATAGTCGCCCCTTGCCCCCTTTTCCGACTGCTCTACGCCTTTGCCCCTTGGTTCAGGTCCATACCCCGACTGCCTACCTACCCCTCCGATTGCTTGGTTACTCCTCCGACTGTTGATTCCTCCCGTCCTGGCAATGACTGGTTGCTAATTGAGCCGCGAGGACGCTTGAGGCGCTCATCCAAACACCCGAGCGACTAAGTCCCTTCCCCGGTCGGCTACTGGCCGAGAACTAGGGACTTTTGGTTGGTTTGGCATACTACTGGGTATGCCCATCCGGTCCACCTTCCCGCTAACTGACTTCCCCTACTTCCTGCTCTTGTGCTTATCTACGGCCTTATTTATTGCGTTACCTGACCCCCGAGGTGTATTGGGCCATTTTTGCCCTCCATCGGGTAAAATAGTCAAGTCATCTCATTTTTCTTCTCAACTTACATGGAAAACAAAATCAAATGTCTTATAAAGAATTTTGTTTTTCTCAAATGTGAGGAATTCATTTTCCAAAAGGAAAATGAATTCCATGAATCAAACACCAAAAAACAATATTTTCCTCCACTTTAAAAAAAATATTTTTCATGGAAAAACTTTTCCATCCAACCAAACATCCCCTAATAGTCAATACAAATATTTTTAACAAACATTACTTTATTATTACATAAAACTATAAATTATCAATATTTGTAAATATAATTCTTAATTATATAATAATAATAATAATGATAATGTATTTTAATATTCAATGATAAGTGTAAAAATATATTTTATAAATTTATATATTGATATATATTGCAATTTATAGTTTAAAAATATATATATTTCACATTTATGAATAAATATCTTATAATAAAGTAGCAATATTTGGATTTAATGTTCGTGTATTTTAAAATATGTTATGAAATATATTAAATATTGGAATGTTTTAATATATTATTTCATATTATTTATTTGTTTTAATCCTATCCATACGTTAGATATTTAAATAGAAAAACACTTGCCAAGCACTCTGTCCTCATATGACATCTTTGTGACTCTCATTGAGGGAAGATTATAGGACTGCTGGTGGGGTATAAATAGATAAAGCTATTATTTTAAGCCCCCAATTACATTTTTTTAGTTTAATGACCTAATTGATATATATTGTAATTTTTGTTTTTACATAGGAAAATAAATGCACTGGAAATAGATAAATATGAAATAAAATCCCCTAAAAATCATGGATACTCAAAAAACGGCCTATTATGTCTTTAACCAATCGTTATGCGTTGGACCCGTGTCCAGCATGCTTGCTGGTCACGGGTAACAGTGCCGTTAGGCACTGTTATCTCTCTCTTTTTTTTTTTTTTTTTTTTTTTTTTAAAATTCAGACCACTTCATTGTAAGAGTATATGTTCATAATTTTATTACTATATGTTAATAACTATACATTCATAACTCCATAACTGTACGTTCATAACTCTATAACTGTACATTCATAACTCCATAACTGTACATTCATAACTCCATAACTGTACATTCATAACTTCATAATTGTACATTCATAATTTTCGAAGCTCTATGTTCACAATTTTAGAGCTCTATGTTCATAATTTTATCACTATATGTTCATAATTGTAAGTTCATAATGTTAGAGCTCTTTGTTCATAATTCGATCAATAACTGTACATTCATAATTCCATACTGTAGATTCATAATCTCATAACTGTAGATTCATAACTCCATAACTGTAGATTCATAACTCTATAACTGTACATTCATAACTCCATAACTGTACATTCATAATCTTCGAAGCTCTATATTCACAATTTTAAAGCTCCATGGTCATAATTTTATCACTATATATGTTCATAATTGTAAGTTCATAATGTTAGAGCTCTGTGTTCATAATTTCATAATTGCATAACTGTATATTCATAACGGCATAACTGTACATTCATAACGGCATAACTGTACATTCATAATCCAAAAAAAAAAAAATAACGCCGTTAACGGCAAAACGCGCGCGATTTTTTTTTTTTTTTAACTAAATGACGCGTTTTTTTTTTTTTTTAAAAACGACGTCGTTTTGGGCCCATGTCCACAATTCAATGTGGACACGGGTCCAGAGCATAATTTGCCGTCTTTAACTATATTGAGGAGAATGAAACCTAAAAAAAAAAGGGAAATGAAGAAAAGAAAAATATGCACTACCAAAGTTCGTTTTAGCACTCTACACTCCTAGGATTGCACTGAGGCCGTGCTACGAACTCCGCTCTGATTTTTGAGATAGCGATTACGTCTTCCCGATACAATGCCAGACACTTCAACTTTTGGCAGTCGCTAGTCGCACCAACGTCCAAGTGGTGGTCATCGGTGACCGTGCAATTGTTACAAGTCCAGGCTCATTACGGCGGTCGCTTTCGAGTTCTTCCCGGAGGATCTCCCTTACGACTACAAAATAAATACATAATATTAAGATACAATTAAGATTACAAAAGTAAATAATCAATAATCATATCATCTAATCATGTATACAATTCAACCACAAATTTTGCAATTTTAAGCTAATTGTTGATCTTGTGATGCATCATCTTTTTTAATATGATTTATTTATTATGTGTATTTTTTAAACTATTACATAAATACAATCGTTATGTTATAGAACTGTGTCCACCTTGCAAGGTGAACATGTTTTATTTTCATAATTACTTAACTATATGTTCATAATTATAAAGTTATATATTCATAATTTTTGAACTTTATATTCATAATTATTGAACTCTATATTCACAATTACAGAACTTTATATTCATAATTATAAATTTATATATTCATAATTTTTGAACTTTATATTCACAATTATTGAATCTCTATATTCGTAATTACAGAACTATATGTTCATAATTATGTTCACAACTTTATGTTCATAATTATAGAATTATATATCTATAATTTTTAAATTATATATTCATAATTATAAACACTTTTGAAACTATATTCACTTTACAAGGTAGACACGATTCCGCAGCATAATTTGCTACATAAATATGTAGTTTATTTACTTAATATACACCTTCAAATAATAATTATCTACTGACCTTCCTTTTAACCCGAAAATAATAGTTGTAAAATAAAGATTGTTAAGCCCAATCTTTTTATGGGCTGGAGCAAACGGGCCATGTGGTAACGTAAAACCTAGGGTTTTGTTGACGCAGCCTGACTACAAAACCCTTGTGCAATATTCTGCGCTCAATCCCTTTGGCAGAGAGAACAGCGGACCTAAGCACTTCCTGGAAGAGGATCATCAATCGCCATGGTTTCTTCCCGTTACTTCCTTCTTTGTCCATTGTCTTTTTATTCGACATGATATGATTTGAAGGTCCCATACTTAAAATCTATTATCTTTCAGGTGAAGTACTCAAGAGAGCCCGACAATCCCACAAAATGTAAGCAATCGGTATTTCATTTAAGCTAATTTTCTGCTCATGCGTTGTTGTGGTTTGTTTGATTATGCGAAAGTCTGCTTTTTTATGTTATTTTACATCTGGGATTTAGGATTTTACTGCTAATGCTTGATTTTACTGTTGTTTAACCTCATATCTCCTTATTACAGCCTGCAAAGCCAGGGGTTCTGATCTTAGAGTTCATTTTAAGGTACTTTTTAATCTTCTGTTCTTTTTGAAACTTCGATTTCTAAGTGTTTGGCTTTTAATTTCGATGGGTTTTCTTGCACCTATTAGCTTGTTTTCTGCCATATCTTAATGTATGGGTTCAATCATCGTTGTATGTAAGAATTTTTAGTGATAGGAAATTGGGTTGTTAAATTGGCTAGGACTTTGTATGATTAGCTCGGATTCATGACTAGAGAGGCTTGTTTATAACTTGCACTTGTTTTGTAGGATAAACTGATGACAACTTCTTGCTTTGAACTGTTCTCTAGTAGGTGTTAGGGATATAAACTGGCAATGTTATTGGCTAGGTTTTGTAATGTGTTACCTGGTCTGGTTTGACATTTTTAAATGCATTGATGGAAATAAGGTATTTTGTGTACTGGCCCTGTGCTACTCTTTCACTTTGCTTGAAACAGTTATCTGCAAAGCTTATTTTTGGTGAGGCTGGGCAACTGTGTTCATTTCTTAAGCTCAAAAGTTTCTAACAATCATCTTCTCATATCATGATAAGTGGTGGGTCCCCGTAGTGGGCACCCCCACCCGGTGGGGGTGGGAGGGGGTGGGAGTGGTTAAAGTCCACCCGATGCAGGGTGTGGGGCGGGTGCGGGTGGAGAAAATATAAGGTGGGTAGGGTGATGGATGTAGCCCTCCCCAACCAACCAACCCCCGACTCATTGCCATCCCTATGTTTGGGTGACGAGGGAAACCCGCATCCACTACTTGAGGGATGCACATGGTAAACTTCGCCTTGTGACCCTAGCCAGCAAAGGACCACAAGGATGTTAAACCAGCCTAGGTTGCCCATAGCTGACCAATTCAAACCAAGAGGGTTAGGATTTGAACTTTAGACCTTATTGTTACAAGTTTGTATCCGTAGCCATCTTGGTTGCTATTTATGATTTTATGGTACATCTGTCTTGTCTTATCACAATTTTCATGAATGAGTTACTTGTTAAACCAGATTCCAACTATCATTGTGCGATTTGACATATTTTCTATCTCCTCCATATGTTCAGAACACAAGGGAAACAGCGCATGCTATCAGGAAGCTGCCTTTAACAAAGGCTAAAAGGTACTTGGAGGATGTTTTGGTCCACAAGCAAGCCATTCCCTTCACTCGCTTCTGCAGAGGTGTTGGAAGAACTGCTCAGGCAAAGAACAGGCATCCAAATGGACAAGGACGTTGGCCTGTGAAATCAGCTAGGTTTATTCTGGATTTGCTCAAGAATGCTGAGAGCAATGCCGAAGTATGACCAATTTCCTCTATACTTGTTTGTCTAAATATTCTTATATCATACTTTGCTCACGGTTTTATGGGTTCATCTTTTTAGGTTAAAGGCTTGGATGTGGATTCACTTTTCATATCCCACATTCAGGTAAACCAAGCTCAGAAGCAACGACGCCGCACATACCGTGCTCATGGAAGAATTAACCGTATGTATCATATGTCCCATTCTCCGTTTCACTTGATTTCATGTCTATTCACTCCTGCACAATTAATGGGAACATTTATTCCTTTACAGCCTATATGTCATCCCCCTGCCATATCGAGTTAACTTTGTCTGAAAAAGAAGAGCCTGTCAAGAAGGAGGTGAAGTCATAGAAAACTAGACAAAATATTGTGTTACTTCTTTATTTTGCTGTAAATTACCCACTAAATTATTGCTTCTTTTTGTAGCCTGAATCACAATTGGCAACCAGCAAGGCTAGGAAGGCTTAAGGCATCTGTGCTTTTTTCACCAGTGATTTACAAACCTTCAAGAATTGAACGATTCTGATACTTTCTTTTGCTTCCTTGTGTTTGGACACTAGTTTATTTGCAGTATGAACAAGTTTTGTTTTAGGAGATATATTTCCTTTCCTGTATTGTTTGATACTCTCTGAGCTTTCCCTTTTTGATAGTATTTTTGGGGTCATTATGCTGTTCATCTTGTCTTAATTATCTCATATGCAAAACTGAGCAGAAATTAAAAAAAAAAAAACAAAGAAAATTTGACATTGAAAAATAAAAATCAAGAGTACATTCATACAATGATGTGATATATGCATATATACCAATTAAGGTCAGCCAGATAGTTTATCAATCTGTCCTAAATACAAAATTATACAAGCTTTAATTCTCTAATCTTCAACTCTACCTGATATGCTTTCAAAATCTCTTCCAATGATGCCCATTTACTTATCTTTCTCCACAATCCATCCATCCTGTATATATTCTGAGTTCAACTCAGACTCCAGCTTGCATCAAACAATCGCAAGAGTTGGTCTTTCTCCGCCTTTCCTTTCTTCTTTTTCTTCACATTCTTCCCTCTGGAGATTTCCCCTCTAGCCCCAAAAACCATGGATTTAGCAGGCTGATGATCCTCCGGGGCGCTGTGTTTCTTCGTTTCTTTATGATCTTCGATGGGAGTTTCTCTTTTTTCCGTAGAACCCTGCAACACTTCGGGTGCCTCCTCTTCTTTCACCCCTTTGGTCAGGACTTCCTTGTAGCTACACTTGCCATGTCCAACTGAATCGGCCATGATGGGCAGCCAGGAATCGATCAAGAAAGATGTGTCCGTGTTGTCTGTTACGGTGCTTCCTGAGGTTGAACTCACAGGGCTGGATATCGGATCGGTGTCCATGGATTGCATGGAGAGATTGGAGACGACAAGGCTGGTGTAGCTGGTGGTGGTTTCTGTTCCCGAAATGGTTGGACAGACATCCTCGGATAATAATGGAACGTGTGTTGGAGGATCAGTTTGATTATCTTCTCGGGGGCAACAGGCCTTCTTGTCGTCTATCGGTTCTGGTTCTTCTGAATTGTTGAGGTTGTTGTTGTTGTTGTTGTTGTTATTGTTGTTCTGGTCGAGGTTGTCATTATTATTGCAACTCATATCCATTGTTATCTCTTTTTCCCGAGTGGTATTAGGCCCCGGCCCCCAGTAGGTAAGAGCAGAAATCCAGAAATCCAACCAGGCTATCAAATGCACCAAACCCCAATCAAGAAAGGGGACTTTCTGCACTATCATGGGGAGTTTGTCCAATCCATCTTCAACTTTTCTTGGGAGGAACAATGTGGCACAGGCAAGCTCCTCAATCTTGTCAAACAGGCGAGCAGACGGTGGGAAAACAACCTCGGCAATCCTCTCGGATTTGAGGATATAATCATCAACCGATCCCAAGAAAGAAAGCAATCGAATCTCTAAGCCATCTATGGAGGGAAGCGTGGCGATGAAAGTAGAGAAATACTCCATTTTTTGCAACAACATTGATGATCCTATAGGCCCCTTCATCTCCACCATTATTCTTGTGCAGATAATGTGGGCAATTGCTAAGAATGCAGCTCCACATGTCTGCAACACACGAATCCTCGTCATTTTCGATTTACTCAATGATGGATGATATGATCTACCTGTTCATAAGCTCCAGTGTTACGTTATTGTCAATTGATGAACGAACGAGAAATAATTTTGCAGTTATCCAAAGGAAAGATGGAGGGAAATTATGATATGATGCTTCATTCATGCCATTGAAAATTTTCAGATCCTTAATTTTCTTCTGAGAAACCTGCGGTTTGTGCATTTATACAAGTAGAAGGAAGGGAAGTTGGGAAAATGATATGATAATGGAGGGACAATATGAGTACTGGCTCTTGTGGCCTAAATTTGAATTTGACTGTTACAACACTTCTAATTATCTATTATAACTAGGCACTAAAATGACTAAACATTAATTAATAATTGAATGGACAAAAACATATATAACTCGTTTACTAACTAACTAGAGAATATTTTCAGTTTTCTGATAATTGAAAAATTGGAGAATAGAAAATAAAAAGTCATGTTAATTATACAATTTATTAATTTGAATAGGGGAAACATCTTTTCAACATACTTTTTTTTTTTTTTTTTTTTTTTCCAAATGAAAAACAAAACTTTTATTGCCTATTTTATTAGGACTCTTGAATTTTAGGAGTAATGATTTTTTTTTCTTCTATATTTTCTTGTCAAAAGCGATGTATGCTAATTAGTTATACATAACGCAGCTATTGAGGTCAAAATAATTCGTACAAAAATAGTGTAGTGTCATGACATCCGTTAACATTTTAAATGGGTAGTCATATATAGGTTCGAATTGATGGAATCTTAAATTCTTTAGGTTCAAAATGTTTGAAAAAGTATAGAACATATATTATTTGTAAAGAATTATGAGTATTATTTAAAAAAAAAACAAAACAAATTTAATTGGATGAAAACAATAAACAATTGTCTCTCAATTGCAAGTAACAAATTGTGAGAAATAAAATTGGGTGCAAAAGTTTAACCATCAATACATATGTAAAAACTGCATAATATATAATGTGTCACTATTAGTTTACTAATTTGTATCGCCAACATCATCGAAAATAAATGCTAATGGCCATGGCAGCATGTAAAAGTGACAAATTTGTTCATATTGTAACAGCATTGGGGACACTCCACATTCTCAGGAATTTTGTTAAAATTGGATGGGTATTTCAGAGCACAATAACGGTGGTGATGTGAAGTAGAAGTTGAAGCAAGCATCTCATGATGATCTTTGAACGCCTGGTCAAACCCTTTGGCAATGGCGTTGTCCTTCCATTTTTCATATTCATTCATGACTCTCAACATTTTGTCCCCTAAGTCACATAAAATTATTTTGTTCCCTTTGGCTAACAAAACCCATTCTCCAATTGTTGATCCTTTAGCCTCAAAAGCTAACAATTTTTTTAATCCTTCCACAATTTCGTCACTCTTCTCATCGTTTAAGAATTGAATTCTTGACAAGAATATACTTTGCAGTCGTGTCCAAAAAGGTTTTGCATGTGAGGGACGAAGACATCCGTCACAAATACGATCTCGAACAACTGTTAATAATACTTTAATGTTGGTACCCATGTAGAACATCGCAAGTGCTAATTGTGGATTAACACACAACACCTTTGATTGGAATTCTTTAACCCATTTTATGTCATTCCCTCCCATCAAAAAAATGTACTTGTTATCATCAACCTGGGAGATTAAAATAGGTTAGTGTTATAAAATTAATATTGGTATAAATTTTAAGAAAAAAAAAAAAAGAAGAGGAAAAGCTATCATCAATTGATTGTTAATTAGATTTACTTTGGTCAGAAAATTCACAAATATTTTAATTGAAGTACTAGTATGATACATAGAAAGTTGTGGTTGAATAATGAATATGAACAAAGTTTATTTCTAACATAATTTTTTTAAATATCATATAAATGACAACTAGTTATAGCAAAAAATAGTTAGTGATATTGATGTTGCACGTACCGATTTATTTATCAGTTCATCATGCCTGAATATCAGAAGTTTAGTGCACCAAGTTGCTTCCTTCCATTGATTATTTTCCCTTTCAAACGTGTAAATATTGCTGTAAATCTATTGACTAAAATAAATAAGTAATGTCATCTAATTCAAAATTCTATAAAGTCCAAAAGTGCAAATTAAAATATAAAATTTTGAAGGAAAAAATTATAATTAATTAGATATTTACATTTATTTCTTATAATAATGATAAGAAGAGATTGAATATGTCATAATCAATGTCATCTAGAGTATTTTTTATATATATATAATTCTGAAACTAAATAATAAAATAATTAAGTATTAATTTGATATTACGGAATAACAGTTTAAAATAAACGTACCGGATCAGTTACGCGAATAATAATGCCATGTAACCAATCATTCATCTTGCTATTCATTTCACCTGCAAAATCACTTATCTCTCTATCAATATCAGGCACAAAATCCCTAACATCCAAAGTCCTTTTCTTGAGCACACTTTCTAATAAAGGAACTATGCAATCTTCATTGGCACTTGTATCTGTAGTATACTCCGTAAATACAACACCAAGTCTTATCCATATCAAATGCATTGCATTGTGGTGAGTAATCCTTCCATGATGATCCAGTGAGATAATGATAGGCTCACCTCCAATATGAAATGTTGGGGACACTTTCTCTTTAACAAATCTTGCTAATCCTAGGGATACTGATTTTTCTGGATTTCTCATTGAAACTAAATTTTCTTTATTTACTAAACCTCTAAACTGCTCTTTCATATTTTTATTAGTTGTCCATGATGTAGGACAATCTAATATTGGAATCCAAAGTGTACGTAGTTTAAGTTTCCACTCAATGTCACCAAGTAGCCTAAGCATATGAGTTTCAATGTCAAGATTTGGTGATATTAACAATAGCAAACCCTTATTGTTCAAGGACTGTAATCCTACCTGCAATTTTGAAGAGGGGCTATGTTTTAGTTAACGAATAATTGTCAATATTTCTATAACTACTAATAACTAACATTCCATCGTATGATGTACAATTTTAATTAAAACATTAACTAGTATTACTTGTCACTTGTCAGTGAATAACATGTTTTTCATTAGATTATTTTTGACAAATCAAATACTATTATTTAATAAGATATAACATGTAACTTAAAATATTTATAAAAAGATTATTATTATTTTTTTTTAGTAGGGGTTGTAGCCATGATTTTTTGAGTCACAGTCATAAGGAATGATAAATGGTAATATTCCTAATAACATAGGGGATGAAGAATAAATTTTAGTGTGCTTAGAATATTTAATTGTTTTATATTAAACCTAAGTACGTACCATTTTTCTTGTCAGGCCATCATATATGAGCTTCTTTTTGTCATGACACTTGACATTGAATAGTAATTTGAGAACATCCAAATTACTAGAAGGAACTGGACTCTCCTCAGAAAATGCGCAACACAATGCTTGGTAAGAATCCTCTTCTCTCTTCTTTTCTGTATATATCAATATTACTAACTGTAATGCTTCAATCAAAATATATGGTTATATACATATTGACAATTTATACATTAATTTTATTTAACAAACCTATTATTGGACGGCATTCTAAAATTAAGTCTTTCACTTTCACAACTAAACTGCACAATTGTGTTCTTTCAAGGCACCTATAACAACAACAACAATAATAATAACCTTAATCAATATTTATTTATTAGAATTCAATAATTAATATTTTTTTTTAATTACATAACATTTGTAATAGCTTGCCTGCCCTACAGCTTAGATATTGAAGTTTGACATGAATTATTTAATTAAATTAAATCAAGTATTATGGCCACACATAGAGCTGTCAAAACGGGCCCAACCCGTCGGGTTGGGCCCGTTTAACCCGTATTTTACACGGACTGGGTTGGAGGATTTCCAGCCCGTCCCGTTTCCAACTCGTGGGAGATATGGGTTATACGGGTTGGCCCGTGGGTTACATGGCCCGGCCTGTATAACCCGTATCCCCACCCATCCCACCCCCAAATGTGTTGTATAATTTGGTATTTTATTAATATTTAAAAACATAAGACTTGAACCCTTGACCTTTTACTTAACTTATTAAATTATTATTAATATTGAAACCAACTATGCTAAGAACACATGTTAAACATTTTAATATAATTATATATCTATTTACATCATTCACAAGCATTATTAAATATATAATTGATAATTGATTTATATTACATTTATTACAATTAATTGTATCTTTATATAAATATTAATTTAAAGTTTATTTATTATATAAATTAAATAAAGTAATAAATTATATATTTTATAAACTTTATAACTTAATAGTATTATAATTACAAAATAAAAAATATTACATGTAAAATATATTAGTATTAAATATAAATTAAATAAATTATAATTATAATTATAATTACATATTAAAAATTAAAATCTAATTTTATATGTGTATATACATATTTGTATATATATAAACATACATATTTGTTCACTGTGGTTAATGTGGTTGATTGTAAATAGTCTTGGCTACTAACTTAGAGGTTATGGGTTCAATTTTGAAGCAATACAACAATAAATATTTTAATCATGTAGATTAAAAAAAAAAAACGGGCTGACTGGCTGGCCCGTTTAGCCCGTCCTACACGGGTTGGGTTGGAAAAATCCCAACCCATGGAAAAACGGGTCGGCCCGTCCCGTCCCGTTTCCAGTTGAACCCGAGACGGGCCTGCCCATATGGGCTGGGCTGGGCCATTTTGACAGCTCTAGCCACACATAATTAAATACATAAAACTAAATCTTACTTAGAATTCGTTCGCGGAAATCGAACAAAATAGGATGTGCAGGCAAGAATACTTGTGAGAATCCAATAGCAAGAGACTGGTATGATTGATGATGAACTATAAGAGGATGATCTTGCGAGCTCAAGAATATACTTAGTGAGATGCAAGAGTGATTTGATAAACTGGACATGAGAGGGCGTCATAGGAGTAGGGATTCCCTTGACATTTGCCAACTTGGTACCCAATCCCTTGTGACCATTAACAAAGCTAAATTCTCCGTAGTTGACGGAGAATGCCGCCAGCATCATCAAAATCTTGACTTCCCATGAAAATATAGATAACATTTTCATAAAGTATATTACAGTTGTGTGTTGATCCGCATTATCCCGACACTTTAATGAGGTCTGAATAATATCACATTTTAAAAAACAAGTATTATAACATAATCTATATATTATAGTATTTGATTGGAAAACATAACCAACATATTATAATATTTAATTTGATTGGAAAAGTTAATGAAAGAAAATGTTCACTTTAATTTTTTTTTTTCAAATAAATAAATAAAAATCACTGCACCTCAAAGTAAAGTCGTTTTATCTGAGATGGAATTTCCATGTCTTTAAGCTCCTCATTATTGGGGTCAACTTCACCAGAATCCTTGTAGTCAAATAGCTCTTCATCAGACTCCTCAGCATATTCTTCCTCATCAGATTCTTCATTGGACTCCTCGTCTTCAGGAATGGATTTTCCAACAGTCTAAATGAACCATAAATGCATCATTCAACACAACAAATGAAATGGAAAATAGTAACTATTATGCGACGCAATACACCAACAAGATACATGGTTTAATTAAACTGAATTGGTTGTGTTGTTTAAATGTATAAAGTAAGAAATAAATAAACTAACCTTAAAAGGACAAAGGATGTTTTTGACAGAATTAAAGATAAAATTGACTTGAAAGTCTTTACTATTATCGGGATTATGAGTAGCCATAATTTCTTGCATGATAGTTTCATGATTAATGTGTGAAACTACCATCTCAGATATAGGCAAAGGCTGATTGGATGCCATTTCTAAGAATTTGGGAGAAGAAAGATAGCTCTGATCTGTGGGAAAGAGACAATTGGGCTGTTTAATTTGTGAATCAATTGTGTGGCTATCCTGGTATATATATAGCAACAGATATCGAATATTTTAATTTATTTGTTTGGAGTCAATCATGAAAGTTCATAAAAATTTGATGAAATTAAATAAAAATTCTTTTACTCTTTCTTGTAATGCACTCCAAGTATAGATAAAGAGTGAAGAAAATATATGGGGTAACTTCAGTTGAGTTGGTTGGATTGTTGACTTGATAACCACAAAATTCTAAATTCGACTTCTAATGATAAGAACAATCTATTGACCTTCTCAATTTGGATGTCAGTTATTCACAACTTCGACCATTTTATCTTCCTTGCCCTTTAAGTCATAAGGCGGACTTACCCTATCGTGTGGAAACATACAATGTTAACGCATGCGGCATAAGGGTGACTAAATTAATTAATCACACGATTGAATGATGAAATGGTGGAGCTTAATTGTCAAATTAAATATAAGTGGAATTGTAGAAACTATCCCCACTATGCTCTCCTTTAATTTATTGATCGTTTATGTTTTAACTAGGGATGGCAATTCTACCCGCACTCAATGGGTTCCCCGCATTCCCGCCCCTACGGGTTTTAAAATACCCGCACAATTTGGGTAATGGGTGCGGGTATGGGGGGAATTTTTTATATCCGCGCGGGTATGGGGGCGGGTGCGGGGGGAGGTATCTCCGCCCCGCACCCGCACCCGCACTTATATATATTGTTATTTGTATTAATTTATTATATAAGTTTATGTATATTTTATAATTAAAATGCATAATGAATTAAACTTCTTAGTTTTTTGTTAATGAAAATTATATAGGAACAACACAAATAACAAAATGAGTAAACACTTAATACAATTTATACTACCAACACAATTTTAGTTCCAATTAATGATTAACTTCATTGGCTCTTATTAAATTTTAGAGTTATGTTCAAACTTATAAAAAAATCCATATGATAATTAGAATTGTAGTATAAAATTTTTATTAGATTTAAGTGTAATATTAGTAATTGAAGTTGCGGGTTGGGTATTACCCGCACCCGCAAAACCCCCACAGGGGCGGGTATGGGGTTGGAATTTCATTACCCGCGCGGGTGCGGGTGCGGGTGCAGGGAGTGGATTGGGAATGCGGGTGCGGGTGTGGGGGATATATCCCCCGCACCCACCCCGCCCCATTGCCATCCCTAGTTTTAGCCAATAAATTTTTCCGTGGACTAGGAATACAATTTACATTTTTAATATATTAAAAATATATTATTTGTATATTGAATATACATTATTTGATAGTATATAAAATAATGTACTTTTATTAGGAGCGAATAAAAGAAAACCACCACTTCAAGTATATAAAGCAAAGCATGATGATACTTTGTCTTTATATATAAAGACAAAGTGTCATCATACTTTGCTTTATAAACGATAGGCTATGTATATTTTATTATTTGTCAAGAATGAATAAAAAATCTAACAATGCCCTTTATTTTTTACTCCTAACACACTCCAAGTATGAAGTATAAAGGAAACAAAGAAGCAAATGTGCAACAAATTTTTCATTAAGGAACATTAAAATTAAAGTAAAACAAACATTGTTGGTCCGGCCCTAAGATGTTTGATAATCTTAGTTATAGTGTAAACAGCTTGTACAAACAACTCAGTTGATTCATAAGTGGTAGATTGTGGATAAGGACAAGGACCAAAATGTGTGTTTAATGTTTGCCTAACCTTACATATATAGCATAAGAAATTGAATAGAGATTGGCCATGAATATTTTATTCAATTCGTTAAATCAAATCTTGAAAATTCATTAAAAAAAGCATTGACAAATTAAAATAAGAAACTTATTATTGATTTGTATGTCAACACCAAAATGAATTGTATTATATATTCTTCATAAACTATATCTCCACTATGCTCTCCTTGATTGCTCGCTTATGTTTTGGCCAATAGAGGCGAACTGCACAGTGTATTATTTATTTATTTATTTCTTAAAAGTGAATAAAAGAAAGCCGCCACTTCAAGTATATAAAAGAGACGGTATATATAAAGACAAAGTGCATCGTACTTTGCTTTATAGATGGGCTATATATATTTTATTCTCTAAGAATGAATAAAATATCTCTACATATTTTAAAGGAAACACTACTCTTTATTGATTTAGTTATGTTTTTTTTGGTTACTCCTGACACACTCCAAGTATGAAGTATAAAAGGAGAAAAGAAGTAGAAATGGGCAACAAATTTTCATTTATATGTATCTGCCACTCTAATATCCGATATGTAGTTGACAAATATAAGTGAGATTATTGAAGCAAAAATTGGTTAAAATAAATTGTGTTATTCTTCATAAATAACCATCAATATGCTCTCCTAGTTTGCAAAACATTGTTAGTACTAACAATGTTGTTATCATAGCTTTGATGATAACACGTACATAATGTAAATGATTTTGTCTCTGAATTTTTTTCCAAAAGCACTATTCTTCTGTACTTCTTAATCAAGGTGCTGCTGCAACACTTCAAACATTCTAAGTAATTTTTTTTTTTTTTTTTTTTTTTGAGTTAATACCATCCAGGGTCCTTCGAGTATAGTGGTTCAACCATGTTTAGTCTTAAACTTTCAAATTGACAACACCTGGCCTTTCAAATTTCAAATTGTTATCATCTGTGGTCCAAATTAACTCGATGGTCCTTCAACTATTAACTTGATAGTACCTTGTGCTCGGATGACATGTAATGACTCTCACATATGGGAGGTCATGAGATCGAGGCTCAATGGAGGCGGTGTTGATTCTTTATGTCTCAACAAGTTGAGAAAGTATAAGTATAGATTGTGAGCATATAGCCACTAATGTACAATCCAACTATCAGCTTAGGCTTTTAGTTGAGATGGAGCACATGCTTCAATTTGGTATTAGAGCCAGACCAATGGTCATGGGTTCAAATCTCAGTGCCACTCATATTTCGGGTGTTAAGGAGAAATTTTGCCTTGTGTTCTTGTTTGGGCATCCTTGGGTTGAATTACCACGAGAGTGGAGTTTAATGTGAGGTTGCAAATCCAAATAGCTACGAGAGTGGTATTTGGACACTTTTGTGCATCTCACTTACCCTATGCCTTGATTTAATTCACTAAATCTTAGTATAATATTTGACATCTTAACTTGAATCAACCAAGTTTCGGTCCTTTATTTCGCTTGTCTTATTTGTTATTTGCTTAATCATATCAACCCAACACCTTATTGATAGGCCTAGCTTCTAAAATGGTACTTTTAGCTTGTGCTTAACTCTACTTTGCATCAATTCCTAACATTACAAGAGCCATCTCCAGTGGAACGTTATCTAAACTCTATACTGTGATTTGATACTTGATGGATGTGTGAAAAACGTCCTTATCATCTTGTCAAAAGCGATTAAAAAATAGTATAAGGTTTATACAATTTAATTTAATGGGAAACCTTATATATTATAAAGTAATTGAAAGGAAATTAATTTAATTGCCAACTACCATAGTGTAGTGTGTGATGACGTCCTGTTTGGCGTTTGCCCTTCTATATGGGTGGTTATAGGTTTGAACTGGTGGAGGCTTAGATTCTTTAGTCTCAAAATGTTTTAAAAAGTATAGAATAGATACTACTTTGTAAAGAATCACGAGTATTTCAAAAAATGAAAAATAAAAAATTGAAACAAATTTAATTGGATGAAAACAATAAAAAAAATTCCCTCTCAATTGCAAGTAACAAATTGTGAGAAATTAAATTGGGTGCAAAAGTTTAACCATCAATACATATGTAAAAACTGCATAATAATGTGTCACTATTAGTTTACTAATTTGTATCACCAACATCATCGAAAATAAATGCTAATGGCCATGGCAGCATGTAAAAGTGACGAATTTGTTCATATTGTAACAGCATTGGGGACACTCCACATTCTCAAGAATTTGGTTGAAATTGGATGGGTATTCCAGAGCACAATAAGGGTGGTGATGTGAAGTAGAAGTTGAAGCAAGCATCTCATGATGATCTTTGAACGCTTGGTCAAATCCTTTGGTAGTGACATTGTGCTTCCATTTCTCATTTTCATTCATGACTCTCAACATTTTGTCCCCTAAGTCACATAAAATTATTTTGTTCCCTTTGGCTAACAAAACCCATCCTTCAATTGTTGATCCTTTAGCCTCATAAGCTAGCATTTTTTTTAGTCCTTCCACAATTTCGTCACCCTTCTCATCGCGATGAGTCTCGTTTAAGAATTGAACTCTTGACAAGAATATACTTTGTTTTCGTATCCAAAAAACTTTTGCATTTGAGGGAGGCAAATATCTGTCACAAATATTAATATTGCTTCGAGCAATTGTTGATACTTTAATGTTGGTACCAATGTAGCAACACCCAAATGCCAATTGTGGATAAACACACAACACCTTTGATTTGAATTCTTTAACCCATTTTATGTCATTCCCTCCCATTAAAAAAATGTACTTGTTCTCATCAACCTGGTAGATTAAAATAGGTTAGTGTTATAAAATTAATATTGGTATAAATTTTAAGAAAAAAAAAGAGGTAAAGCTATCATCAATTGATTATTAATTAGATTTACTTTTGTCAGAAAATTCACAAGTATTTTAATTGAAGTACTAGGTATGAAAAAAAAAAAAGTTGTGGTTGAATATGAAAAAGTTTATTTCTAACATCATTTCTTTAAATATTTTATAAATGGCAACTAGTTACAACAAAAAATAGTTAGTGATGCTGTACGTACCCATTTTATTATCATACTATCCTTCGTAGATTGCAGAAGTTTAGTGCACCATGTTGCTTCCTTCCATTGATTATTTTCCCTTTCATGTGTGTAAATATTGCTGTAAATCTATGGATTAAAATGAATAAGTTATAATGTCATCTAATGTAAAATTCTAAAAAGTCCAAAAGTACAAATAAAAATTAAAAATTTTGAAGGAAAAAATTATAATCAATTAGATATTTACATATCTTT